CTGATGTAGCCCTCAATGAAATCAAGTTTGACACTCCTGTTTTAGAGCAGGGGTCTCCAATCTTGGCAACTTTAAGCCTGGAGGACTTTGACTCCCAGAATTGGCTGGGGAATTCTGGGAGTTGAAGTCCGCCAGGCTTAAAGTTGCCAAGGTTGGAGACCCCTGTTCTAGAGAGTACCTCTGAAGGGTCTCCTAGGTCTAGAGCAGGGGTGAAATCCATCAGGTTCTAACAGGTTCTGGAGAACCGGTAGCAGAAATTTTGAGTAGTTCAGAGAACTGGCAAATACCACCTTTGGATGGCCCCAGAGTGGGATGGGAATGGAGATTTTGCAATATCCTTCCCCTGCCATGCCCACCAAGCCATGCCCACAGAACTGGTAGGGAAAAATTTTGGATTTCACCGCTGGTCTAGAGCACCTACATATATGTTCAACAGGAGAAGGCTTCCTTGCAACCTTCTAGAAAATTACTCCAAACTAAACAGAATGGGAGAGAGAGAGAGAGAGAGAAGGGCATATCCCTCCCTTGGGATTTAATTATAGTCATTATGAAAGTGAGGAAAAGTAAAGGGATGTGAAATAACACTGAAAATTAATACCATTACTTTTTTACACATTTGTCTCTTCAAAGATTTTTCTGAACAATCGCAACACTGGCCAACCATGAATGCTAACAGCTAATTTTGTTCTCATTTGCAAATGTCTAGCAGGTGTCACTAGAGTAACTGAACCAAAACTGATCTACTTGTTGTACTTCTCCAACAGCTTAAAGACACTCTCATACTAGAACTTTTAAGAAGTACAATAGGCATGTGTGACATTTATCAATCCAAGGTTTTTGATTTCCCCTTGGATGATGCCATTCTGTATTAGTTTGGTGGTTCCCAAAAATACAATCCAAAACCAAAACCGACTTGTAATATTCCAGATATAACTTCCAGATTAGGTTGGTCTTTGTCAGAACAGGTCTTACCCCTGCTTGGTCTAATCTGCACAACATACAAAACCAATATGCGTTCATTTCCTTTTGGCTCAGTGTATTGCATTTACCCAGCCTCTGTATTTGTCCAATCAATTTTTGCAGTTTAATACATTGTTTGAACCCTGCCATTGTGGTTCACTCCATAAATCTTGGTTGCATAGTTGGCCAACCCAGGCCTTGCATCTGGCAAGGATTCACACAAATAGTAGAGGTGGTCACTGCTGTTTACAACTTTCTGAACACTATGTTGCAGCTGGGATGAATTGTGAATTTGACCCATACATATTTGTTGTGGATCAGGTAATCTGATCAATCAGTAATCCTGCTGGGGGTGGGGGGAGGGTGGAATCTAGAAATGTAATATTTGAGAATGGGAACGTTTGCTGATAGCAGTGAATTTTCATCACTTCTTTCTATAAACCATAATCCTTTATCCTTTCCAAATTACTTGATAATATACAGGGTAGCTCAGAAAGAAGAGATCTGGGGGCCTGTAAGAGATCTGGTTTGTCACCTTCCTGAGATATTTTTTTTTATTGTTATTATGCTGCAGTTATTGTTATTGTCAATTTTGGAAATCACCTTTTCGTTGTGTAATCTGCAAGCTAGGAAAAACCTAGTTTGACCCAACAGGAATTTGGTTTGGATTTTGGTTGTGCCTTCTGTAATGGTTGAGTTTACATATTGTGCCATGTTATGCCTTGTTTAACCATAATTTGGGTAACCTCAATTGGCTGGCTTCAAGAAAGCCATAAATTATTATTTAATGATCAAACAAGTCATAAACCAACATTTACATATGCAGTGGCTAATTTCACACAACCCTACAGAACTCAGTATCTTTCTTACCCTCTTGTATCTCTTGTTACTATCTAGGTAGCACTGAATATAGAACTACGGGAAAACATCTGCTTCTATAGATGGTCTAGAACTAATTTAACAAAAGACAGGTGTGTTAGGAAGGTGATGTTTCAAAGTCTGTCCAAGCCACCAACATATATAGTTGCCTGATTAAGAAGATCTGACAGATGAACTTTACAAACTTTTTGATCAGCTCTAGTCATAAATATATGGGTGTGTGAAGTAAGATAGGGTGGGGAATACTGCAACACTTCTGAGGAGCCCTGACAATTTACCAAAATCGGTTAAGATGTGGAGCATAGATAGCGGCGCTTGAAAAGATTGCACCTTCGTTGCCAACTTGAGAAAACATCAAAAGCCAAATTGGGTTTCTACCAAAAGCATTACCTTCTCAGCAAAGTTGTTATCGTCAGTGGGTTGTTTCCTCACTGGTGATTACGAACCGCACAAATAATCTTGATGTCAGTGAAACTATCAACAAAGTCAAATCTACAAGACTGTTGATCTGTTTTTCAATTTACTGCAGAGATAAACACAATGCCATCTTAATTTCCCATCAAATGGAGGGGCTTTGCAATGATGAAGTCAGTATTTCTGAAGCTCATTACATGATACCGAAGTCCGTTTGGCCATTTTATGATGTTTTTATGAGAAAAGCTGGCATTATGATATTCATTTCCCTATTATAGTGAAAGAATATAAGAGAATCAAAGAGAAAAACACCACTTAGCTAAGGTCACCTCCTGAACTAATAGGCAAAGTGAACCCAAGAACTCTTAGCTTACAGTTCTCGCTTTTATATGAACTCTTGCTTCATCCTTTCATCCTTTCATCCTTATGATTTTCCAGGAGTCATGGCCACTGCTGCCTTCTTGTTTCCCACAACACTAATGATCTAATAATGTATAACAGTTTCAGAACAGGAAGCAAAATCAACAATAATATGATCCACAGAAGACCATCAAGTCAGAACTAGTATCATCAAGTCAAGAATTTGATTTGATGATACTTTTTTTTTTTAATTTGATTTATATGCCGCCCTTCTCCGGAGACTCAGGGCGGCTTACAATGTGCTCAGCAATACTGTCCTGCAAAGAGTTCCAAAACTATTTGTAGGACATTGTATTTTGTGATTTTTCTCCAGTTCTTTCTCTTCTGTTCTGTCTGTAGGTACCACTATTATATCCACTACCCAGACTTTTTGGTCCTTTTTTAAATCAACAATGGTGAATTTGAGGGGGTGCTTGCCTAGAAATGAAAACAGAACTCTGGCAAAGAAACCAAAGATAGTACTAATAGTTGAATCCCAAAGCAACCGGAGCATCCCTTGAACACCATTAGCATTGGCAAAATCACTATCAGTCAATTACATAAGGCAGCTTTACTTGGAACAGCTTACATCCTGTAACAATACTTTCCCCAGTATCAAACATCTGCCTATCTCAGTTCCTTGGGAAGGACTTGATAGATGGATAATACCAAATCTAGTCTAAACAATTATTTATTATGCTTAATTGCGCAGTCAGCCAGATATTTAGACTGGATTTGGACTTATTCAACTCATTAGTCTATTGAGTGGCGTATTTCCACTCAACAGAAAGTGAGCGTCAACATGCATCCTTGCATTATCCTGACATCTGAAGCAGTTCAATGGACTTCTTCGATTCATTTCATATCTACCCCACAATCATGGCTAAATGGAGCCTCTCTCCATTCAACCTCAATCAACATCCTACTTTCTGTTCTTCACCTACACCTACTGCTTCTACAACCCACAGATACACTTCATAGCTCAGAACTAAAATGACTAACCACTTCCTCTTGCATATAGCTCCTAAAATTATCTTCCATCTTCCCCAGCGGCACCACATACATGCACACACACTCACAAAAAATTATCAGCCCTATATATATATATATATATATAAAACCCTCTGCAAATTGAAAGAATTACATTCAGGTGTGGTCTCGAATGTCTCACTGCTGGTGTTTAAGGTACAAGCTTGAAAGAGATACATCTTAATTGTTAACTCTGGGTTGTATGGCCTCTGCAAGGCATATATTTCTTTCTTCATTCCATCAGTGGCATGAAGCTAATGATACCCAGTCTTAACAGGCTTGTAAGCATCCCTAATGTGATGTGTGTAAAAGGCTTTAAATGCCAGGAATATGCAGAAAGTCAGAAAGTACAAATGCTAGATTAGACTGTGTGGGACTGCAAATCCCACACAGGTTTGTGTGTTGTGAGAATCTAATCATTGTCTTAGTATATTTATGAACCAAGCTATCATGGTATATCATAAAAGGGTGTTATTTACTCGGCCTTAACATACTTATGTAGGTACACCCAATGTATTTGTAACCTAGATTCAGTGTGGTGTTATTGTTACTGTCCTGCCAATGAGAATGACACATGGGCAGTGGTGGGTTGCTCCCGGTTCGCACCGGTTCGCAAGAACTGGTAATAAAAATGTGTAGTAGTTCAGAGAACTGGTAATAACATTGGCTGGCCATGCCCCCGAACTGGTCCCCGGCCCGGTCACCACTCGCTTATCCCACCCACCTCATCAGAGGCTTTTTTTTTTTACCTTTAAAAGCATTTTTTTCTACAACCTCTTCAGCCGAAGAGGTTGTAGAAAAAAAAAATGCCTTTAAAAGCCTCTGGCAATCCCAGCTGAGTTGCCTGATCGTCAGAGGCTTCTAAAAGTATTTTTTCTGCAACCTCTTAAGGTTGTAGAAAAAATGCTTTTAAAAGTAAAAAAAAAGTTGGTCACGCCCACCCAGTCACATTACCCCCACCAAGCCACGCCCACAAAATAAGCCACGCCCACAGAACCGGTAGTAAAAAAATTTAGAACCCATCCCTGCTCACAGGTCGTGGTTGTATAACACACTGAACCTGGTGAACAATTTAGTCTGTTGGTTTGTAGAATAAGATGAATTATAAACTAACCAAGAAGCACTGAGATTGTAGAATATTCTGGATCCCCCTCTTTTCTAAAGAAATACTAAACAAATTTTTAAGGAACCATTACTTCGCCGATTGCACTAATGCAAACCGCCAGATCCATGACTGATCTAATTGAGCATGTCATGTGAGTGAACACAGCCATGAGAAAAAAACTGCTTCGATCACCTACATTTCTCCAGCATCTTACCTGTGTAACCAGCCAGGGCAGCAGCAGGAATGACAGGTTTGTCCTTGTTCATGTCAGTTCGGTCTCGAACATAGTCCTTGAAAGTGCCTTTGGGCTTGTGGTTGGGTAGAGGGACAGGATAGTCCTCCGAATCAAAGCTATCATAGGAAGGGACGCGCTGTAGACTCTGGAAGGATGACTGGCTGCTCCAGGACTGCGCCAGACGGTCACAACTGTCATAACTCTCTATACTCTCAAAAGAATCTTGGCCCCCAAGTTTACCTGCAAGGCAAGAAGAAAATGAAGTTCCCCTTCAACCAGTGATTGAGATGCCTTCATAAGGAGGAAGAAAAAGGCCCAGGCCACAAATAACCTGCCTGACTACCTCCAGATCCTCATCAACGTTGACTTCAATATCATATTTTTATGTGATAGAAAGAAAAAGTCATTATAAAGCGTGGCAGGCATTTTAACCATCCTTAATAAAATATTGTTTTGGCTTAATTCATGTTGCTGCTTCAACTGCATCATTTCCCCCTTCTTTCTGGCAGCACAGCCACCAGCCTGTCCTTCAAGAGCTTAATGTAGTTCTCAGACAAAAAGAAGTTGCACAGTTTCTGTCCTGCAGCTCCACCATGAAGGTCTTTGTTGAAGCCTTAGTGCTGAAAAGGAGCCAGGCATGAATATGTTCAGGTGTAGATATGCCCTGAAGTTGGCATGATGGGGTTTAGAAGGGCACTATGCCATCTTGGATGGATCTTGGGTGGTGTCCAAAACAGTTGTAAGGGAAAGGCTTAAGCTGAAGCTGCCATGAAATGAGGATGGATCTCATATTCCCTTCTTTAGGCGTTGTGTCCATCTGACACTTGCACTTCTTGTTGTAAGCAAGGGTGGGATTCAGCTGGTTCGGACCAGTTCGGGGGAACCGGTAGCTCTGACAATCAGCTGAGAGCAAACTGGTTCACTCCGATGATCAGCTGGGTCCGCCTGCCTGTCCCTGCACTATACTGACCTATATTTCCTTTGTTTGAAGCCCAGCTGATAGGCGCGGCAGAGCGGATTGCTGTGCCTCAGCTGTTTTACTCACTGGGGCTGCAGTAGAAGGTAGGTTTTAGAGCTGTTTTCAAATGTACTGCACGCGTGCTCAGCGAACCGCTTGTTATACCGGTTGAATCCCACCACTGGGTGTAAGCAATATCAGTTCATCTTTTGAAGAATTCATAGCGGGACTGTTGTGAAATCAGTGTTCACAGGGCTGGATCTATGCCTCTAATTGCCTGAACATTGTCTCCATGCTTTGAACATTTGCATGACCTTTTCTCTGAAATGTACTTTTTTTTCCTACTCAGTTAAGGATATTGCTAAATCTGAGAAGGGACAGAGTTCTTTATGACTTTCACTGGATCCTAAGGAGGGAAATAGCCTGGACTACAGCTCTGGAGTGGTGGTGGAACATAGTCTCAATCCCAGAGGACAGAGACAGTAAGTTTAAATAGTTTGGTTGGAAGAAAGAGGGTCCAGTCTGCTCAGTGGTGGGATTCACCAGTTGTAACAACCTGTTCGTTGCGCGTGCAAACTCGCACTTTCGCGCATGCACATTACAATCGAAAGTTGCCTTCTACTGAATCCAGAGTGAGTAAAACAGCTGAGGCATAGCAATCTGTTCTGCCACGCCTATCAGCTGGGCTTAAAACAAAAGAAATATAGGTAGGTTATAACACAAGCCCATCTGAACGTCGGAGCGAACCAGTTCGCTCTCAGCTGATCGTCGGAGCTACTGGTTTGCCCAACCTGGTCAGAACCAGCTGAATCCCACCTCTGAGTCTGCTGCTACGTAGAAGTTCTCAGAGTGTATCTCTAATGATGCAAGTAGCTTGCTATAGTTGGGGAGGCTTTCTGCTTCTAGATGAGGAACATTACAGGAAACTTCTTAGAAGTAACTGTGTGTGTGTGTGTTTCTTGGTTTTTGGAGCTTGATAGGAGCAGACTCTTTACAAACAAGGCAGAGTTTATCAACCAAAAGTAGTTCAATCTCACATTCAATCTGTAGTTCGATCTCCAATTTCTCCATCTAACAGCAACATGTTGCAAAGAGAAGGAATGACGTCTTCAAGCAGATTACTGAGTTAGATGGAGAAACCACCTGACCTGCTATAAGGAAACCACCAAGCATACAGATTACCACTTGTGCTATCTATCTATCAAGAAACTTCGCCAAATGTGACAAGTATCATCTTTTATTATATATATATATACCGTGTTTTCTTGAAAAAAAGACCCTGACTTATATTTTTTTGAACCCTGAAATAAGCGCTTGGCCTTATTGCCATGTGCTCAAAAGCCCAATTGGATTTATTATCAGGGGATGTCTTATTTTGGGGGAAACAGGGCAGTGGTGAAATGTAAAATTTGTTACTACTGGTTCTGTGGGCGTGGCTTGGTGGTGGTGGGTAATGTGACTGGGTGGGTTTTTTCTTTACTTTTAAAACCAATTTTTCTACAACATCTTTGGCCGAAGAGGTTGTAAAAAAATGCTTTTAAAAGCCTCTGACGATCCCAGCTGAGTTGCCTGATCGGCAGAGGCTTTTTTTTTTAATTTTTAAAAGCATTTTTTCGGCCTAAGAGGTTGTAGAAAAAATGCTTTTAAATTTTTTTTTAAAGCCTCTGATAATTGCGCAGCTCCGCTGGGCATGGAGGGGGCAGGGATGTTTGCTACCAGTTCTCCGAACCACCCGCCTCCATCGCTACCGGATTGGGCAATCCGGTCCAAACCAGGAGCATTTCACCCCTGAAACAGGGCATATATATATATATAACACTTTGAGATTTCAGCTGCATATGTAGAACCCCCTGTTACAAACAAGGAAAGGTTGTGCATTGTTGCTTCTTCTTCTTCCTCCTAATGGCCATTAGATGTTACCTTAGTCCAGGCAAGCATTAGGGTTGTTTATTCTTGGTTTCTTAGAGATCAGTTCACCAGAAGTCCAATATGTCAACTCAGGCAACTCTGCCCAGATTAATCACTCTTACTTCAGCTAAAAATCTGAATTCCTACCAAAGCACACAGGTTCAAAAGTGAAACAAATAAAACAAAACAAATAAGATCTTACACTGCTTTTTCTCTGGAATCCCACTCTATGGCTATTGCTCAACCATTTCAGATTTACTGACAACCTTAAGAGCGTAATAGGATCATTTGAGTTCAATAATTACCAAAACCAGTCTGAAAACAGCTGCTGGGATTGTGTAAGACCCAAGGGGGGGAAAAATTCATTGGCAGAGATGGTGGCAACTAAAGCCCACAGAATAACTCTCAGGGGTGGAGAGAAAGCTTTGAACTGGCATATTTGCCATGTTTTGATTTGACCTCCATATCCTCTCCAGTATGTACCTCCCTATCCACCCACCCCCAAAATATATCTAGTAAGAATTTAGATAATGACAGGAATCACTTGCTTGAGAGAAGCAAAGTATAGAGGTCTCTAAAGTCTAGAATTTGGAAGGTGTGTGATGCGTTTCTCATATTGTATCTTTAGAAACACTCAAAAGCAAATGCATGGCTTAAGAAAACAAACAACTCTTCAGCAATTCCATTGGTAGAATTTCTAGTTGAAAAATCTTGCGTAGCATAGCATAGGAAAAAGTGTCCATCAGTCAAAGGAGATATATCACCTTGCCAAAATAGTGCTATTTATTTATTCATAAACCTGCAAAGTGATCCCAAAGGAGGGATAAATTTGTTAAGCAAACAAACAAATCACATTATTTATTTAGTTGGTTGATGTGCCCAATGAGGGAGCTGTATCCTGTTAACCTTGGCTGATCTCAAAAGAGCTGAACAAGGTCAGTTAGACCAGGATAATACTTGGATGGGAAAACAAGGGTGTAGGCTACGCTGGAAAATTAAAAAATAAATCCTAGAAGGCAAACCACTTCCAAATAGTTGCCAAGAAAAGTATATGGATGTTTCCAGAAATCATTTAAACTTTTTAAAACATTGTTGATAGGTGAGCTTAGCTACTGTGGCTTGAGTTCAGTGAGATCTCAACGAACCGTAGCAACATTCCAAAAACCTTGGTTAAATCATAGCTTTTAGTGATATAAAATCCCAGCCAGTATAGTGTTTGGACAACAATATGGTTTGTTCATTGCTTTGTTGGTTTTTGTGCTATGGAAAAAAAATAAAACCATCTCAACCGTAGGCACGGGCAGGGGTGAAATCTAGCAGGTTCTGGAGAACCCGTAGCAGAAATTTCAAGCAGTTCGGAGAACTGGCAAACACCACTTCTGGCTGGCCCCAGAGTGGGGTGGGGATGGACATTTTGCAATATCCTTCTCCCAGGAGTGGGGAGGGAATGGGGATTTTGCAGTATCTTTCCCCTGCCACGCCCACCAAGCCACACCATACCCACCAAGCCATGCCCACAGAACCGGTAGTAAAAAAATTGGATTTCACCACTGGGCATGGGTATCTGGGAATCAGAACTGAGACCAAGAACGAGGTCAAATTCAATTTATTATTGAATAAGAAAAGCTGACATAAGTCTGAGGTATATATTAAAGGTATGGTGGTGATGAGAATGGATTTATAGGTATATACATGTTTGAAACCAAAGTTATTCATCCCTATTTGCAAATAAGCCTGATGTCCCCATTTGACGGAGGAGTTACAACAGACATCTTCCCCCGTGAGTTTTGACACAATGCAGTCCACCTTGACAGGGTGACTATTATCTTATGGCCATTGCATGAAATTTCTTCAATAACCCTTGCCAGTTCCAGATTTCTCAAGATGTCTAGGACTATGACTTCCAGAGTCAGTAGTTGGGGAAGATTAGGGTAGAACACGTCCCCAGTAAGATCACTTAGGCATACTATACCAAATTTACCCACCATTTAGAAAAAGTTACCAGCAATAGCAGTAGCAGTAGTACTTCAATTCATATACCGTCCTGTCATGATTTAAATGGGTGGTTTACAGTGTCAGCATATTGCCTCTAACAATCTGGGTCCTCATTTTATCGACCTTGAAAGGATAGAAGTCTGAATCAATAGCAATAGCACTTAGACTTATATACTGCTTCACAGTGCTTTACGGCCTTTTCTAAGAGGTTTACAGAGTCAACAGTCTGGGTCCTCATTTTACCGACCTCAGAAAGATGAAAGGCTGTGTCAACCTTGAGCCGGTGGGAATCGAACTCTGTCAGTCAGTCAGCAGAATTAGCCTGCAATACTGCATTCTAACCACTGCGTCACCATAGATCGAATTCCAGACTGTGGGCAGAGTTAGCCTGCAATACCACTAAGAGCCTTGGTACTACAGTGGTCTAAGGCACCCTGTTATTAAGCTGGTTATTAAGACCAGCTGCCTGCAATTACTGTAAATCGAATCTCACCAGGCTCAAGGTTGACTCAGCCTTCCATCCTTTCTAAGGTAGGTGAAATGAGGACCCAGTTTGTGGGGGCAATAAGCTGACTTTGTATAAATATACAAAAGAATGAAGGCTATTGCTTAGCACATTGTAAGCCGCCCTGAGTCTCCAGAGAAGGGCGGCATATAAATCAAATTTAAAAAAAAAAATACTGCATTCTAACCACCGCAACAACAGAGCTGATTAAAGCCTCACCAGCAGAATGCAACCATGATCTGAAGAAGCTTTTTGGCAGTACCAGGAATGGAACAGAAGCACCCACAAGGGCCCAAATAGAGGGGCCTTTATTATCTATTTGTCTACGCTACCTCGGCTGGCACGCCCCATGCACATGTTATCCGGTGTTACGACTTCCTGTTTGATGGTGAAGTAGTCTGTCTGCAAGGAGTCCATCTGCACTGGGTCGCGAAGAATGACTGATGGGTACTCATTCTCATATTTGAGAGATAGGAGCTCCTCAGAGCTGATTGGATGGAGAGTCTGGTAGGACTCTGTGATGAAGCTGGGCTCAGAAAACTCTGATGGAGGCACACACTGAGCATGCTCAATGCCATAACCTGCAAGGAGAAAAATGGCATGAAGTGGTGATCCAGGGTTTTAGGGACCTATCTGAGCACCTCAGCAGAAAAGACCACTGTCTAGGATTTGCCAAAGATCCTACAACATTCTCTTTCTGCTGGATCTGATGTTAGTCAGATGTAATTGGGAAGAGGTATACTAGGTCACACATTCCAATATTTGTTCTAAGTTAACAGAACACATTTTTAGATTTGTTTAGAGCCCAATATTCTACACACATTAATTTACCTTCTTGTAGAAGGAAAGAAGGAAGGAAGGAAGGAAGGAAGGAGGGAGGGAGGGAGGAAGGAGGGAGGGAGGGAGGGAGGAAAAAAAGGAAGGAAAGAAGGAAGAAAAAAAGAAAGAAAAAAGAAAGAAAGAAGGAAGGAAGGAAAAAAGAATTGGACTTACTAATGAAGTAGTCGGATGTATAGCGAGATTCTGGATAGGCAGTATTTATTCCATTTGCTGGATATGGCTTGATCTCTTCTATAGCAAATAAATGAAAGGGAATATCTCAATTATTCAACAACAATACAACTAGCAACAATATATATAGGTAGGTGAAGCTGAGAAACTAACTAATGCAAAGTCATCACACAACGTGGTGATGAACTTGTCAAAATGGGCCCACAAGAAAAATGTATGGAAACGCTATGTTGAACATTAGAAGTGGTAATTACCAAGAAATCTGTTATGGAAAGGCAATACGTAGACCATAAAGACATGAATCACTGTGGAGTCCAGTGGTGCACATGTAAAAGCATGGCTTTCCATGACATGAACATCTGTATTAAAATTTGTATATGATTTCCAAGACTTTTCCTAGGTGACATCTAGTGTTTTAAACATCTTGAAGGTACTGACTGAAATGATAGCAAACTGGTGCAATCCATATAGCTTGAGGACAGTTCCCATCACCATCAACCATAGGCCAAGCTGGCTAATGGAAGCTCAACGCAAGAACTGTCCTCCTTAAGTTCTATTAAACAAATGTTGTTGATACAGTTACAATGACTTATAGTTGTGTAATAGGATTTTCCCTCAATTTTTTATCAGACTAGGAAAGCTGTTTCTGGCTGGCAGCTAACATCTCATGAGTATGCCATTTGGCACGGTCTAGTCATATTGCAAAATCGCTGAATATTTTTTCATTGATTTTGGTTTAATTTGACTATTGTTCAAAAAAATGTGAATAAGGGACGCATCATGCTCCTATGCAGGAAATCATGTCATCATTATTCAGTTATTTGCTAACAAATTTCACAGAGGGAAGAAATGTCGTCTGCAGATTTGATAAGTTCCCTTTCTATTCCCTCATCTAAATCATTTATGAAGCTATTGAAGACTACCGAGCCTAAGACAGAACCTAGGGGTACCCCGCTGCTTACTTCTGTCCATGTAATTTGTTAGCAAAACAAACAGAATAACAAAATTCTGTTATTCATCAGGAGGATCTTGAGGAATGCGGGGAATCTAGAAAAGCATCTCTATAAAGATGTGGTGGCTCAGTGGCTAAGACGCTGAGCTTGTCGATCAAAAGGTCGGCAGTTCAGCGGTTCGAATCCCTAGTGCCGCGTAATGGGGTGAGCTCCCGTTACTTGTCCCAGCTTCTGCCAACGTAGCAGTTCGAAAGCATGTAAAAAATGCAAGTAGAAAAATAGGGACCACCTTTGGTGGGAAGGGAACAGCCTTCCGTGAGCCTTTGGCATTTAGTCATGCCGGCCACATGACCACGGAGGCGTCTTTGGACAGCGCTGGCTCTTCATCTTTGAAACAGAGATGAGCATGCCTTCTAGAGTCAGGAACGACTAGCACATATGTACAAGGGGAACCTTTACCTAGAAAAGCATCTCAGGGGTCTACGTGGCCCACGAACTGTTCAACCACAGTAGGAAGCTCCTGTGCTCAATATCAGCTTGACCAGGCCAGATTGTACTGAGCAGCGTGTCCTAGCACCATAGCTTCAAAAACTTTTGCCAAAGCAAACACGAAGAATTGCATGGTCAAAGTAATCAAGATGGCCAGGGTCAAACCTTCTGCCCTGTCCTGATTACTTTTACGAGCAAGCTTCCCAACACACTTAGGTATTTCCAACACACTTATGTATTTTGAAACATTTCAGCCAGAGGTGACTCACCTCCCACAGGCTGTCTAAGACAGAAAAGGCATCAGGCAAAGTCTTCTTCACAAATATGTTTTAGAATACTCAAAATTAATCCCTTTCCATTCCCCATGCCCTAAAATACAGGAGTGGCCAAAATTGTGGAAACCTTTTGGGAAAAGTGTATTTTTGAGGTTTGATGGCTAATAATATCACTTATTTGGGGGAGTTTCAGGATAATCCTATTCCACTGCTGGAATGGCCTGGGAATAGCCCAGACTTCAACCCAATTGAAAATCTATGGAGCCGACTGAAGAAATTTGTTAGTCAGAAGCGACCCAGCAATAAAACCCAGTTAATAGGAGCCATCATTCAATCTTGGTTTCACATTAGAACAGCTGCAGAACTAAAAGACTTGGTTCACTCCATGGGAAGACGTTGTAAGGTCGTAATTCATGCTAAAGGTTACCCAACTAAGTATTAACTGATGTGATAATTTTTGTATATCTCGTTCTTTCTACCTCTTTTACTTTTCTTTATACTGTAACTGCTATTCTAATAGCAAATCCTTCATAAAAGTTATCGCATTACATTCTTGAGTAAATTATCTTTCCATTGATATATAATTTTATGGTACTACTACTGCCCCCCCCAAAAAGTGGTGTTATTACCTAGTTTTAGAAAATACACTTTTCCCAAAAGGTTTCCACAATTTTGGCCACTACTGTAAACCCTTGTTCCTCACAGTCAACAGTGCCCTCTCGTTGGCTACAAAGTTGGTGCCTTCTTTAGAACTATAACCTGACCTGTTCCCTTCCCTGTGGCTATCTATCCAGGAGTTTGGCAGATCTGTCCAGGAGGATGGAAAGGGGCAAAGCTCCCACAACTCAGCTCACACAAGTCTTAGTTTTGTTTAGACCTCTTCCCCATCACCCCCCAGCAGAAGGGAAGGTCAAAACTAGATTCTTTTTGAATTGATGTAGACTATTCTCTGACTGGCTTCTGTCCAGAATCAGCAAAAATAAATAGGATCCTGACTTCGTTCCATGGTGGGTCAAACCTAGTCATTGCATGTGGGAATATAGGACTGAAAGATGACTAAAGAGGAGGAAGGGCTTCCTTTAACCTTAACACCTTCATGGAAATTTACCCAACGGTCATGCTTTGTACCTGGAGTGTCCAACCTTGGCAACTTTAAGCATGGTTGGCTGGGGAATTCTGGTAGTTGAAGTCCACAAGTCTTAAAGTTGCCAAGGTCGGGCACCTCTGCTTTAGGCAATCTTCATCTTACTAGACATAGATAATAGCATCAGATCCATGATGACTTCTCCTTCAAGAGCCTTGGTAGTACAGGGGTTTAAGGCACCCTGTTATTAAGCTGGTTATTAAGACCAGCTGCCTGCAATTACTGCAGGGTTCGAATCTCGCCAAGGCTCAAGGTTGACTCAGCCTTCCATCCTTTCTAAGGTAGGTGAAATGAGGACCCAGTTTGTGGGGGCAATAAGCTGACTTTGTATAAATATACAAAAGGATGAAGGCTATTGCTGAGCACATTGTAAGCCGCCCTGAGTCTTCGGAGAAGGGCGGCATATAAATCAAATTAAAAAAAAAAAAAAGATGGTTCTGACGACGGCTTACTCAGTGAAATGTTCTCTTCCTACTCTCAAAATGATGCTATAGAGCACTGCACACCAGAACAACTAGACACAAGATACAAGAACAGTTTTTTCCTGAACGCCATCACTCTGCTACACAAATAATTCCCTCAACACTGTCAAACTACTAAGTCTGCATTACTATTACTATTAGTCTTCTCACCATTCCTATCACCCATCTCCTCCCACTTACAACTGCATCACTGTAACTTTGTTGCTTGTATCCTTATGATTTATATTGATATTGATTGTTTCCTAATATGATTTGATGGCTTATTTGTTCCCTATGACTATCATTAAGTATTGTACCTTATGATTCTTGACGAATGTATCTTGTCTTTTTATGTACACTAAGAGCATATGCACCAAAGACAAATTCCTTGTGTGTCCAAACACACTTGGCCAATAAAGAATTCTATTCTATTCTTCCCAGTTTTACAAACAGAAATGGAAAAGGAACACTGTTTTTCAACCTGTTTCAGCCATTGTAAAAACCAGTCAAAACTAGCTGTTTTGAAGGTACCTAGCAAATGCTCAATTTTCTGGACCTCAGTAAATGGACTTTGCATACAACAAACCAAATCCCACTACCATTTATGTAAGGACATGTTTGTACAAATGATTTAACTTGCATTATTTCCCTAATGTCTGTATGCAAAATTCTATTAGTTACATAATGATACAGATAATATATCGCCACAATAATGCGCTTGTTCTATTTCTCAGACTACGGGGATAGTCTTCCTCCAAATAAGGTCCTTGTTTAGCAAAGGGTCCTTATTTTCTAGAACTCAACCTTAATCAACTTTTGCCAATATCTCCAGCTTTAAAAAAAAAAACCACTGGCTAATTTGGGTGTTGTTTTCATGCCCATCAAACTCATCAACTAAAGTTGTTTCCTAGAATATTGTTCAATTCTAAGGAACTCCTCACTTATTCCCATGCAGGTAAACAATAAAAATGAGTAGCAAAGCAACAACATGCATTGCCTTGCATTGAACAATAGCACTTAATCTTACATACCGCTTCGTAGTGTTTTACAGCCCTCTCTAAGTGGTTTACAGAGTCAGCCTATTGTCCCCAACAATCTGGGTCCTCGTTTTACTGACTGAAGAGGTTGACATACTATTTGGGGACATCAGCTATTCCAGTTCAATTTAGTAATCTCTACATTCATACAAGTCAGTCCTAGAGGAGATCAACCCTGACTGCTCTTTAGAAGGCCAGATCCTGAAGATGAAATTCAAATACTTTGGCCACCTAATGAGAAGGAAGGACTCACTGGAGAAGAGCCTAAACCTGGGAACGACTGAGGGCAAAAGAAGAAGGGGACGACAGGGAAGGAGGTGGCTGGATGGAGTCACTGAAGCAGTCAGCATGAGATTAAATGGACTCCGGGGGATGGTAGAGGACAGGAAGGCCTGGAGGAACTTTGTCCATGGGGTCGCGATGGGTCGGACATGACTTCGCAACTAACAACAACAACATTCATTGATTCTTAAAGAGTTTCAATCTAAGGAATTTTTCCCATCCCATCAGAAGTTACCTGGGATTTTGGTAAACCAAATCATTAAACTAGATTCCTGGTCTATCATTTGCATTAGGTATGCCATGATAATGCCAGTGTATACAGCACAACGACATACACGGAAACTTAAATTTCTGTGCTCTGCGTGTAGCTTGTTCGGTTACTCAACCCTCACACTGAAACTTGTTGGAAATGAAAAAGGAGAAGAAAAGAGCTGCAACTATATGCCACCAACAAGAGAAATGAGAGGCTGCCCATTCAAGCATGGTGGCATGTTTATCTTTAGAAAGCCACAGAAGGTGGCAACATCCCCTACCTTTTTAGTGGATTTCATGGAACAGACAAAACTGTCCCAGCCCACACTTGCCTCCCAAAATGGAATGATAAACACCTGCCTCTACCTATTACAGAAGCCTCCAAAATGGTTTGCAAACATCTTAGTGGGTGCCCTTTATTTACAATTGGTTTCACCTTATTATGCAAGACTGAATGCCACTCTGTTCCTTAGTAAAACTTATCCAGGGGAGTCCAGGAATAGCTGATGCTTTCCCATTATTTTTGGGAAAAGGAGGTGTCAGAAACACAGCTTTGCCCTTATAAACTGTGTGTAGCCTGGCAGTGAACTTGGTTCCTTAGCATCTTTTCCCCACAGGCTCCAAGGAGAATAAGATTTCACAGTTATTTGGCAAAGAACTGAATGCTGGTGAACTATACACAGGCTGGAAAATCCCACCCATGGCACAGAAACACTTCCTATCTGTGGCTCCAGTGTTGTTCTCTTGTTTGTGTAGAACTCCGCTTCTTAAATGCATCAGCACATAGATGGAAAAGTTACTAAAAAGACTTTGTGCATGTTGTGGCCCGCCAGCGGCCTGCGCGGATCGTGGCTGATCCCGACAACAAGGAGCTGGTGTGGGGTCACGCCAGCACCCTGCGCAGCCGGCGCTTGTGTCGGACAGCGAGGAGGCTGAAGAGGATGTGGTGCCAGAGGCAGAGACTCAGCCAGGGCCTTCAGAACCTCCAGAGACTCCTTCAAGTGGAGAGAGTGAAGTGGAGGAGCCTCTCCTCAATGCTCGGGCACGCAGGGCTGCCAAAAGGCAGGAGTGGCTACTCAGGAGGAGGAGGTCTCCTCGAGAGTAAGGTTTGAGGATAATTGGCCACTCCCTTAGCCTATTTAAGTCCCACGCAGTTAGTAATTTCTTGCTGGAAACAACATGTAATTATTACAGAGCATATTGGAGAGTGAGTGTCTTATCGTATCTTGTTTTCTGGGCTGGTTGCCAACCTTTGCCAGACTTTGTTTATTCTTGGTACGTTATAACTTTGATAAAGACTGTTGGTGTGTGTCACAATCCTTGGGAATCCAGAGCTGGGGCAGAACAGTGCAGGAATAGTCAGCTATAGGTGGGAGAAAGTATAATTTTGCAATAGCATTTGGGTCTAGAACAGGGGTGTCAAACTCAAGGCCCGTGGCCCAGATGGTGGGGGGGTTAGATCTGGTCCACGGGGCCAGCCTAGAAACAGCAAAGGACAGGATCGTGATGCCTCTGCCAGCAAAAATGGAGCTCGGGGAGGCCATGCGCCGCCTCCCCAAGCTGCTTTTTTTGCTGGCAAAGGTTTTGCTACCAAAACAAACTAAAAGCAAAGTGAAAGGAGAAATGTTTCCCCTTTTGCATTTGAGCATGCAAGAAGGGACAGGAAAGGAGAAAGGAAAAGAGGAAAAACAAAGAAAAAGATGGGCAGATAGGAAGAGAGCAAGGAAAGAAAAATAAGGAAAGAGGGGAAGGAAGAAGAAAGGAGAATGAAGAGGGACGGAGAAAGAAGAAGAAGGAAGGAAGGAAGGAAGGAAGGAAGGAAGGAAGGAAGGAAGGAAAGAAGGTAGGAAGGAACGAAGGAAGGAAGGAAGGAAGGAAGGAAGGTTATAATGAGAGTGAGGGAGGGTCTCAGGGAAATCTTGACTTAGCAGTTGGCCATCAGAGGTGCCCCCGACACGAGTCCTGTGTCACGCCACCGGTCACGCCCACACTGATCATGCCTGTCTCTGGCCACGCCCACCCTGGTCACAGCCACCCCCGGCCACATACCCCATCCTTCCGAGGTCAAACACAACCCTGATGCAGCCCTCAATGAAATGGAGTTTGACACCGCTGGTCTAGAATATGCAGACTAAGCCAGCAACCTGATAACCCCCTCTGGTAATGTACACTCTTGCAGAGTTGAATTTATGCCCTAGTCCCGTGTTGGCGAACCTATGATATGCATACCAGAGGTGGCACGCAGAGCCCTCTCTGTGGGCACGTGCGCCGTCACCAGCTGCTGTTCCAGCGCCGGCATGTGCATGCACGCTGGCCAGCTGGTCGACCAGCTGTCCGGCACACATGCAGGAACCCAGAAGAGAGCAGCTGGCCAGCACGCATGCGTGCGACGGAATCCGGAAGAGCAGCTGGCTGCCGCGCGCATGCACACTGGCCAGCTGCTCTCTTCCGGCGCTCCGGCACATGCTCCAGTTTCGGCATTCGGTGTCGAAAAGGTTAGCCGTCACTGCCCTAGTCCATTGTTTCTCAACCTCAGCAACTTTAAGATGCATTGACTTCAAGTCCCAGAATTCTCTGGGGAGTCAGCATGAGGATATCCTAGGGAGGGGATGAAAGGTATCTCTTTGGGATTTGACACTACTCTGGAATCCATAGATCCTGCATTAATCAACCCATAATGTAGACTATGGTTGTCCACCTTTTTTGGCTTGCCTGGGCTGCACTGAATGAAGAGGAATTGTCTTGGACCACATATAAAATATATAATACAGTTAATGTATATAAATAATCAAAGATATAGAAAACTAAAGAGAGTTTATTATCTTGTAGGCCACATTACTAGCTGCCCAGGGCAGTGGTGGGTTGCCCGCCGGTTCGCACCGGTTCTATAGAACTGGTAGGAGGCTCTGCCCACCGACTCTGACGTCATCAGAATGCTTGTGCACATGCGCAGAAGCTTCTGAGCATGCACCCATTGTGAACCGGTAGTAAAGGTAAGTAGATCCCACCCCTGATCCAGGGCCACATGCGGCCTACGGGTTGCAAGTTGGGCACACATTATGTAGAGAGTTCCTAAATAAATAGAATCTCTCTTAAAGCAATTTCCTATATTCCCAAAATATAGATAAAGATTAAACTATCTTTAAAAATTTATGGGCAAGGGCAAGCTGCTTTGGAGCCTTTCACTGTAACCGAACTCTGCCAAAATATTCAATAGGAATACCTTATACTTACATATCTCTGAGGAACAACTAAACATGATAATTTAAACACATGTATTTGCCTTCATTCGTACAATAAATTAAAGTCATGCAGAGCCAGGAACATTGATTTTTGCAGGGGGATATTCAGGAACTCCCATGAACTTGTGTAGTCTTCCTGTACAGTCCTGATCAAAGCAACCCAGCTCGTTATTGGTGATCATCATATATTACCTTTCTGCAACATCTCCAGATGTTCCCAAAGAATGTCTCCTACAAAGTCTGGTGCTAATTCAAGGAAGCAGTCCTTCCCTAGAGCACACAGGGCAGCTCCGTTCATGCAGAACTTCTGGAAGTCCACATCCTTCAGACTGAATTCATTCATGGCCCACATAATCCAGTCCCGTACATGAGTTTCTGTCCATTGGTGAGGATCTGGATGAAGAAATCACAGATAGAAAGAGTTACCAGGAGCGGCTTTTTGTATGCGGTTTACACAGTGGTGAAATCCAATTTTTTTTACTACCAGTTCTGTGGGCGTGGCTTGGTGGGTGTTGCTTGGTGGGCGCGGCAGGGGAAGGATACTGCAAAATCCCCATTCCCTCCCCACTCCAGGGGAAGGATATTGCAAAATCTCCATTCCCACAACACTCTGGGGCCAGCCAGAGGTGGTATTTGCTGGTTCTACTCAAAATTTCCGCTACTGGTTCTCCAGAACCTGTCAGAACCTGCTGGATTTCACCTCTGGGTTTACAGCATTCTATTGGGGAAGTCTGCCAAGACCTCTGCTAGCCTGAATTATTGGTCCTTGTATCTCTCTCAGTGAAAAATCATACTGTACTCTCTCCACTGTTGATAATCCAGTGAGATGTAAGCCTTTCCCAAGACGCTGGCAGAATTGGCCAAGAGACCTCTTCTGGTTTGGTAAGTGTTCTCCAGTAGTTTTTATCCAAGTTGGCAAAAAGCTGGATATTATTCAGAAGTTCTTTAGATGATTAGATATTGGAAACCATCGCCATGACATATTAATTGCGATTTTGCTCAGTTTACAGGTATGCTAAGCAACTTATGACTGGTTGCTTAGCATATCAGAACACACATAAACTGGGGGAATCAGGCTTAATATCAGTGACTGTAAGAGGGATCTTGGAGTCTTAGTGGACAACTAGCTAAAAATGATTCAGCACTGTGCAGCGGCAGCCAAAAAAGCCAATGCAATACTAAATTGCATTAACAGAGGGATACAATCAAGATCAAGTGAAGTACTAATACCACTCTATAACGACTTAGTAAGACCACACCTAGAGTACTGCATCCAGTTTTGGTCACCACACTATAAAAAGATGTTGAGGCTCTAGAAAGAGTGCAGAGGAGAGCAACCGGGATGATTAGGGGACCGGAGGCTAAAACATATGAAGAATGGTTGCAGGAACTGGGGATGGCTAGTGAAGAGAAGGGGAGACATGATAGCCGTCTTCCAATATTTGAGGGGCTGCCACAGAGAGGAGGGGGTTAAGCTGTTTTCCAAAGCACCTGAGGGCCAGACAAGGAATAATGGATGGAAACTGATCAAGGAGAGATTCAACCTAGAAATGAGGAGAAATTTTCTGACAGTGAGAGCAATCAACCCATGGAACAGAAGTTGCCTTCGGAAGTGGTGGGAGCTTCATCACTTGAGACTTTCAAGAAAAGATTGGACTGCCATTTGTCAGAAATGGTGTAGGGTCTCCTGCTTGAGCGGGGGGTTGGACTAGATGACCTATAAGGTCCCTTCCAACACTGTTAATCGGTAAATCTGTAAAAAAAGGTACAACAGACCTCCCCAGGGATACTTACAACCCAGTTCCGAAGTTACAATAGCTGCTCCCCCTGCAGTCATGTGACCACATGTTAGGCACTTGGCAACCAGCCCACATTTACTGCCCTTTGCAGTGTCCCACAGTTGCATGACTGGGTTTTGCTGAAAACTAGTATTTACTTCAATTTTTTTTTTTTTTTGCAAGATCAACCTATTGTGAACCATTAGATTATTTAACAACCAGGATGTTTGCTTAATGACCGTGGTGGTCATTCCACAAGGTTGCTCAATCACCACTTCAAAACAAGTTGTAAAATTGGGTCAGTCACATGGGTGGCCTAAAGGATGACAAGTTATGACCATGATGTGGCAGACTCCATTATGGTTGTAAATTGAGAACTGCCTATGTCAGCTTCTCAGTATCAAACAGTACTCCCTTCTTAATAATATACCAACCACCCTTTAAAAAATATAGTAACATATAAGAAAAAGGCTGTCAGCTGTTTCCACCATCAAGGTGAATGTCACTTATTTAAGTATCAGAGCAAAGAAACTATGAATCTCAAGTTTTTCTTTGAAGATGTTTCGCTTCTCATTCAAGAAGCTCCTTCAGCTCTCTTGGATGAGAAGCAAAATGTCTTCAAAGAAAAACAAGTAAGTCCAGTTGCCTCTTGAAAAAGCACCTTTGGGACAACCATGACCTGGATGACTGAGAATCTCTGTAGATATGTGAATCTCAAGATTGTGGAAGACTACGGAGACAACAGAGACTTGGTGGTGCAGCAGACTAAAGTGCTGTTAATTAGCACCAGCTGCCTGCAATTACTGCAAGTTCGAATCTCACCAGGCTCAAGGATGACTCAGCCTTCCATCCTTTCGAGGTAGGTAAAATGAGGACCCGGTTTGTGGGGGCAATAAGCTGACTTTGTATAAAAAAGGGGCCCCTGAAAGCCCTACTAAGCAGGTATAGACAAAAAAGTATGAAGGCTATTGCTTAACGCATTGTAAGCCGCCCTGAGTCTCTGGAGAAGGGCGGCATATAAATCGAACCAATAAATAAATAAACACCTGAGGAACTCTATGCCCTGGGAACTGGGACATATCCATATATGATAGAACTGCTACTCTTATGCCCCAAATGCTGTGCAATGTTCAAATTGCTTTCTATATACTAAATGAAAGCTGAATGACATAGGAGGGGCTCCAGAATACATTCCACAAGCCCATTCAACTTGCACCTGTTTTGAAACCACACAATCTTGTGGCACGTTGGCACCAATCAGCACTTGTGACCTACCTTTGGGTATTCCCAGTCGTTGCTGCTCTTTTGTGAAACCACTGAATGTGGCTTTTAATGCCTGAGACATCATTTCTTTGCTGCTTGGAGTTAACAAAGGGACATCTGCACATTCCATATCTAGAAGACAAAGATGAGAAACGGGGACATCAGTGGATACCAATGATATGGATGGTGGAAGGATCAAGGGAACTGAAATCATAGGACCGATGTCAATAGGTGTCCACTATCTTCTTCCTGGCTAGAATACTACTCAATGGGTCAATCTAAGTTCACCAGCAAACAAGAAGATAATATTCCATGAACAGCCAATGGAAGTGGACTGTATGAGACCATTTTTGAGTTGCTGCTCTCTGGATTTGATTTTGTAAAGATATATAGAATTGAATAGTATGTATTAAGTCTCCCTTTGTCAAGCACCAAAACCAAGACAGACAGGTTGAGATTCTTCTAAGAAATTTTCTTTATGGTTGCCTACCTATAGAAAGAAATCTTGCCAAATTAAAACAGTCCACTTGCACAATAAAAAATACAGTAGTGGCCAAAATTGTGGCAACCTTTTGGAAAAAGTGTATTTTCTAAAACCAGCTAATAACACCACTTTCTTTTGGAGTAGTAGTACCATAAAATTATTTATCAATGGAGATAATTTAATCAAGAATGTAATGCAATAACTTTTATGAAGGATTTGCTACAGTATAAAGAAAAGTGAAAAAGGTAGAAAGAACGAGATATACAAAAAAATATCACCACGTCAGTTAATACTTAGTTGGGTAACCTTTAGCATAAATTACGGCCTTACAAGGTCTTCCCATGGAGTGAACCAAGTCTTTTAGTTCTGCAGCTGTTATCATGTGAAACCAAGATTGAATGATGCTCCTATTAACTGGGTTTTATTGCTGGGTTGCTTCTGACAAACAAGTTTCTTTAGTCGGCTCCGTAGATTTTCAATTGGGTTAAGGTCTGGGCTATTCCCAGGCCATTCCAGCAGTGGAATAGGATTACCTTGAAACTCCAAAAAAAAAAAAAAAGTGGTGTTATTAACCATTAAACCTCAAAAATACAATTTTCCCAAAAGGTTTCCACAATTTTGGCCTGGGAATTATGATAAGGCAAACTCCATTTATCACAATAAATTCACCCAACTAGTGTGTATGTCTACACATTTTTAAGGCAATGAAATCCTCATTTAAAGTAAGAGGGTAGGATGGGGACCGAGAGTATCACGTAGATAGGAAGGGGTTTTTTTCCCTATCAATGTTTATGATATTTTGTTTGATAGTCTACTAAGATACACAGTTTTGCTTGTTATCTTTCTGCAGAACTCACAAGGGCCGTTTCTGGTGGGATATTTAGGAGCAAATGCAATGGGAAACTATAAGCCAAGCTATTGGACAACGAGCAACAGATTCCAAACACTGTTTAAAAATGTCATTGGGATATTTAGAGGATTTTATTAGCAAAGCTCTGGAGAAATAAACACACTGCTGAGCCAACTCTGCCATCCATCTTCTGCTCAAGAGATAACACCAAGGGAAAGTGTCCTGCACACTCTCCCCCTATTTTTAAGCAGCTTGTTGTGTTTTAATGATGGGTTTAGCATGCTTGGTGGGTAAAAAAAAAAAAAAACCCAAAAAACGACCACCCAGCAACAGCTCAATCATCTTTGCAGCTTGGTCAGAGGGCAGTTGGGCTGTTCTCTGGCTATGGGAGAGTGATTCAGGCACAGCTTTGAGAGATGGGAGAAGCCAGTCCTGACACTTGTTTTGCTGTTGGCCAACTTCAAATACAAAAAGAAGCACATGTGCACAGCAGACCTTGAGAAACACACCAGGAGCAGGCCTGCAGGGCAATGTGTTTCACATTCCCTTAAACCAAGGCCCATTCAGTTACTCTTCACAGAGCATCACTTGGATAGTAGCACTGACAAACAACATTCAAATGGCATAGATCAGAGGTGGTATTCAGCAGGTTCTGACCAATTCTGGAGAACCGGTAGCAGAAATTTTGAGTAGTTCGGAGGTAAATACCACCTCTGACTGGCCCCGCTCCCATTTATTCTCTGCCTCCCGAGTCCTAGCTGATCGGGAGGAAATGGGGATTTTGCAGTAACCTTCCCCTGGAGTGGGGAGGGAATGGAGATTTTGCAGTATCCTTCCCCTGCCACGCCCACCTAGCCACGCCACGCCCACAGAACTGGTAGTGAAAAAAAATTTAATCCCACCACTGGCATAGATGAACTTGGCTGGGTTACCATGAGTTACGCAAGCATAAATGCTGTAGTTCATGCATACTACCAAAGCCATAAGCCATAGTTTACAAACCACCAATCGTTGGCTTTGCACACAATGGCCTACTTCATACATTGCGCTAAGCCGCAATATCTAATTTGTTCGATACTGCAAAATTTGCTTGCTACACACAGTTACAGTGTAACTTCCTGACTGGCTGGAAGCTAAGTTATGGCTTAACTGGGGATTTGTGAGTAAACCATAATTGACTGGGTTACATAAATCTAAACCATCCAAACCACATTTTGATTTAGCATAGTATTTGGATCAGGGATAAACACGTATGTTATTATACTACAAAGAACATTGGATATCTATACTGTAAATTCAATATAAAATGTCAGTCTTCCTAATTATTCCTATCTCTTTCCTTGATATCTATTATAAAGTCTCTGGTTCAGTATGATGTGTCTCACATAAAAAAAAAAGGCTATATATTTTCCTAAAATAATTTTGTTAAATATTTTTCTAACCTTTATAAACATTTTGTTTCAAGTTGTCATTGCTAAGAGTTTCTCTTTACTTCCAGGGTTTTAATTACGCTCTTCTCAAATGTTTTCTCCAAGCTTATTTCAGCTCAAGTGCTAGGAAGCATTTTTTTTTACATTTCCTTTGCCCAACCAGCATCTATTAAAAGAAATAAAGCTATTCTTGCCAAATGTTTAATTTCTAAAATGAGATCTGCTTTTCTGAACATCAAGCAATCAATTAAGATGAGAATTTGCAAACAAAATAAGGGTAAGTGACGTTCAGTCCTAGTAAACATGTCTTGGATTCAGTTGCATAATCTATTCTGCAAGTCAACATGTAATGGCATACAATGCCTTAAAAATGTTAACTATGCTTACTGAGAAATAAACTTTATTTCAGTGGGATTGCAGCCTTAAAGAGGCAAGACTGGTGTCTTGCTTTAAACTTGTGCGGATAGGTAGATCAATCGATCAATCGATAGATATAGGTAGGTAGGTAGACAGACAAACAAACAGACAGACAGACCAACAGATGATAGATAGATAGATAGATAGATAGATAGATAGATAGATAGACAGACAGACAGATAGATAAAGATATATAGATAGCTAGATAGCTTGATAGCTTGATAGCTAGATAGCTAGATAGCTAGACAGATAGACGGACAGAGACAGATATAGATAGATAGATAGATAGATAGATAGATAGATAGATAGATAGATAGATAGATAAGGTATGTAGATAAATACACAGACAGAAAGACAGACAGACTGACAGACAGATACATAGACAGACAGACAGACAGATATAGACAGACAGACAGACAGACAGACAACTAGTCCATCTTTAATGTTTTTGTAAATAACTCAAGGTAACGAACATATCCAACATACTTTTTCTCCTCTTATTTTCCCCACAACAATAATTCTATGAGGTTGATTGAGAGCGAGTGCCTGGCCCCACAAATTCATCCAACTGGCTTTCATGCCTAAGGCAGGACTAGAACTCAACCTTTCCTGGTGATTGGCCCAAAGTCACACAGTTGGCATTCATGCCTAAAGCAGGACTAGAAGTCACATTCTCCTGATTTCTAGCCTATTGTCTTCAAATACTAGATCAAATTGGCTCTCGCTAGACTAAACTGGACTGGACTGGACTAGACAGACTAGACAGACAGACAAACTAAATGGAAGTAATGTTCATTTTAAATTGATACTTGTTTTGTTCAGGATGACAAGATCTTGCAGCACCCAGTCCTAATCCAAGTTCAGTAACACATGAATTGCTCTCTCTTTAGCAAGATTCCAGCACCAGGTCTCCCTGAACAGATACTACCTCCAGCCCAGATTGCTGTCCAAACAGTTCAAATTTCACTCATGATCAACAAAACAGAGCTAGCGGTTATAATGATATTTTGCAATAGGGAGAACCAGCACAAATAACCCCACGGATTTTGACTTCAAAGAAGAAAACGAAGGCTCGCTTAACTGAAGAAACACAACTAACTATTTCTAGGACACATTTAACAGAATTACCAGAATTTAGTATACGTTTAGTCAAGTCTGATATTATAATAAGAGACACCTCAAATGACACCTTAAATAATTAACGTAAGAATCAAATAGTTATCTCATTACATGAAATCATGATTTGTTTCATCATGTTTTGGATAAAATAAAAATGGTTGGATTCACACAATGTGTAATATACTAGGGCAGTGATGGCTAACCTTTTTGTTGTTGCATGCCAAAAGCGGGGAGGGGGGGTGTCGCATGCATGCGTGCCCACACTCAATGCCCCCCCACCCCGACACCTCCCCTGCATGCGCACGCAACCCCCCACACTCCCCTTGCTTTTGGCACACAATTGCACAGTGGGCCTGGTAGGCCCGTTTTTCGCCCTCCCAAATCTCCAGAGGCTTTCTTGGAGCTTGGGGAGGGCAAAAATGGCCTTTCCTGACTTCTGGTGGGCCCGGAAGGCCTGAAAATCGGCTGGCATGCGTGCTGGAGCTGAGCTAGGGCAACGCTCGCATGCCCACAGATATGGCTCCACGTGTCACCTCTGGCATGCATGCCATAGGTTCGCCATCACGGTATTAGGGTATAAATATATATACCAATTAGTGTCCTAAGATTATAGTTTATTCACCTATGTTAGTAAGTAAATCAGATTGTGCCCTGAAAGCCATGATGATTAGAATCACACAATAAATATAAGATATGAGCATATTCCATATATCTGTTACAAACTTATGACCTATGTTTTGAAGACCATATTAAAACAGAAAAAGCTCTCAAAGTTTTCTTTTGTCAAACAAAACATTGCTTTTCCTTTTTTTTAACCAACTTAATATCCTTG